CATTCCCTGACAGTCTTTTTCAGAACACAAACTGTTGGAGAAAGACAGTGACTCAAATATGTCATACAAGTAATGACAAGTTATGCTGAGCATACTTGCCATTCCTGAAACATTGCAATTAAACAATGTTCTTAAATTCATTGGTTAGCAGCTAATAGCAACATTCTTTTCCTATTATATAGTCATGTCTGTAGGAAGTGCAGGCATAATAATGCCACACTTAAATGCGACCATGGAGGATTTGAAAGAAGTCTCTTGTACTCATTATAAACATCAAGGTGAGCAGAAGTTGATAATGCAAAGTAGAATTCATTCACTTTGTTAAGATTTCTGGTTTTACTGGAAGTCAGAGAATATATCAGTAAGCTTCATTAACGACATGTGGATGATACCTGTATAGGATTTATTATTTTATTGCATGGTAGGGTTTTGAAATTTTTTATTTTATTTTAGTGTAATGAAATGCACTAACTTAGGAGATAAGAACTCCCATTGGAAAGTTGTTCTTCTCATGGTCATTAGGAACAGACAGCGAAACTGTGCTTCTTACATTTGAAAGAAACTTGGGAGAAAAAGACAAGGAAAGCAATTAAACAGGGTTAGGGAATTATGATGAGCAATTCCCTTGCCATGAGATAGTACATATTTATTATTATAAAATTATTGAATAAGAAAATTTTGAAGAAATAAAAACTTGTATTTCTATTGAAAAGGAAGTACACAATTAAATGTTGTAGTTAAAGAATAAGTAAGCCAATAAATAATTTAACATTAATTCAATATCATTTGCTAAAATATGCACCGATAATTAAAATATAAAACACAAGAAATAATAGATACAGTGTAAAAGAAGTGACAAGGATATTAGTTGGTATCTTCTTTAGATCTGCTTCCTTCAGTATAGATGAAAATTCAAAAAAGTCACAGTTCAAGATATTTGCCTTTTCTCAAAACACACCTTTTACACTAAAACTGCCAGAGGAAAAACTAGGCAGTGCTTTACAAGATATAGGAGTGCATGTATGTGTCTGCATGTGTGTGCCACTCAGAGTGATCATGCTCATCTCGAGAGCCATAGATTACCTAATAAAACCCCCAATGCCACAATACTGGGTTTACCTCCTGAAAGACTCTACTGCTGAAAACACCACAAACTTCAGATGCTGAACTGAGAAGAACCAAACTGGAACTGACCTGGAAGCCTCCTCCCTGAAGACTAGCTCTCATAGTAGCAGAAGGTGCTATGCAAGTTTCCAAGGAAGAGAAGCAACCAATAGTCCTATAAATAATCCTGTACATCCTACAAATCATAACGATGACTAAACAGCCAGACAAGATATCGCTAATGGCGCAATAGCAGCACTTTCATCTTGAGGTTAAGCAACAGATGAAGAATTAGATTTAAGGACATCTAAATAGGAGGGAATTCATGCCTGGGACTGTAACCATATCTAACTAACTGTGGTTGGAGAGGTCTTAGACTTGAGAAGGGAATCTGTTACTGCCATTTTACTAAAATAATTTCTATATTTTAAATACTCATCCTTATACCCATAGGTAGGTGTAGCTCTTGCCTCTCATCAAAGAAGTCTTTTTGTTAGTTTGCAACAGATGGAAATTATTACACAGACCCTCATTAGTCAAAACACAGGCTAAATGACCATACAGTGCTCAACTACAATAGATACAATAGTACAGGCAACCAGGCCTGTACTCCTCACAGGGAAAATCACAGAAGGAGGGGCACAAGATTGTAAGAGTCAGAAGATAAGGCTGCCTGGTGCTGGGTGGGATTTTATAGACAATGGGGAAGCTGCAGCCATGACATCACAGCAATATGGTTGCCTGCATCATGAACTGCTGACACGCTAATGGGGACCAAGAACATTTCACATGGTCCCACTCCTACATGGAGTGCTATAGACAAATCAATGACTCTTGAGAGAGGTAGAATCGGTTTTCTCTGAGGACAACTTATTCAATCCCAAGAAATCAATTCTAAACATATGTATATAAGTACAACACTAAATAGACTCATTAGGGTGTAGTATATAGTAAAGACGTCATGACTTTGAGAGGTCAAGAGGCCATGGGAGGAGCTTGAAGGGTAGACAGAGTGGTGGGAATTATTTAAATGTAGTGTTTGGTTCATATGAGAATGCCTCCCATAGAGTGGGAGTTTAAGTACTTAGTACTCATTAGTGAAAATATTTGGGAAGGATTAGGAAGTATGGCCTTGTTGGAAGAAGTGTATTATAGGGGGAGGCCTTCAAAGTTTCAAAACACAAATGTCCTACCAGGTGTGCCCTCTGCTTCCTGCTTGCAGTGTGAGATGTGATCATTCAGCTGTCTCTGTTCCCATTCCTTCATTCCACCACCATAGACTCTAACCCTCTGGATGTGCAAGTCCAATTAAACACATTAATTTATAAGCTGCCTTGGTCATGATGTTTTATCGCAGTAATAGAAAAGCAAAAGCAACTAAAATATCCAATATTCATGTATGAAATTAAATATATATATATTTAAATTTAAAAACGTGTTTTTAAAATATAGCCTTTTCTCTCTGTATTGGTACATAAGTGACCAACTCTATAATAACCATATCTATGTTATTGGAAAACACAAATATGGTATTGAATTATATATTATATATTAAAACATATGGTTTTAAAGAGAAATTTGGATTTAATTCCCTTTGAGATATGTATGTGTTTAGATTTGGTAAATTTAGAATGTTAGGAAATAAATTTAAGACCTAACTTCCAGTATAAAAATGTTTCATTTTGATTAATACATATTATAAGACTTCATACATCTATATTTTAAGAAAAAATAAATAATCCTCTTTGATTGTAAGGATAATAATAGTGGTCATAGGGAATCACAGATGAAGTACTTAAAAATTTCACAAGTTATTGTTGGCTTAGATTGTGATGACCAAAGAAATCTTTATACAAAATAATGAACATATTTTACTTTACAAAATAGCTAAGATTCAATATATAAAAATAGGGTAAAGAAAGCTCTACAGCCAACAAGAGAGCACAGAGGACTAATGAGTTTGCTGTCAAGCCTGACCTGAAACCTTTAAATGGCTTTTTTAAACTTCTCATGGCTGAATGAGAGAACCTACTACTACACATTTTCCTCTTATATGTCATGATGTGCACCAACCCATGCATTCAAGTGTGTGTTCATGAACACACACAAGTAAATGAATGTAATTTTTAAAGAAGAGTATAAAAGGAATTCAAAGACTATTTTCAACAAATCATGAAGAAGGTCATGGCCATGACAGGCATTTTAGCAATCCCCTGGCACTACAGAGAAGAATGTAAGGAAACAAGGATATATAGTTTTCAAACTGGGTGATTTTTAAATATGAATTTTTTTAATCTTAACTAGCTAACTACATTATTTTGAAATTAATGAACTATGCATCTTGACTTTATCATTAAGGAGCAAATTGCCTAAAATTTGAGTCAGAAAGTACGAAAACATTAGTGTTGGATCAATTCTCACAAAAAGTTTTGAGTAATAAAACATCCCTTGTTTTCTGGCATATTCCATGTGCCAGTTGTAACTCAATTCTTTGCACACATGTTTCTTTCATACCTTATAGTATATGAAGTGTGGTAATTCCTAGTTTAGGAACAATAAGCTAAAGTGTAGTGGAGCTAATTTGATAATCATCACAGAAGAGTCTCGGGTTTTCATGACTCCAAATCCCACCTCAAAATAACTGTGAAATACTTCATCCCAGAAACAAGGAGACAAAATAGAACCCAAACCCTACAAACTTTGAAAATTAACCATTTACCCTTTCCATTTAAATGTCAAAGTCAACCAATGAAAATTCTCTTTTTTAAACGTCACAAGTAATTAATACTAAATTTAACTGAATGCTAATCATTTAATAAAACCCTGGTCTTTAATCTCAAGGGCTGCCAACATAATGTGTCTTGTGCCCAGATTTCAGGGATCTCCCCCTTCCCCAAACACCACTACGGAGACAGAGTCTGTATGCAAAAGCAAAGAGCATGGGTTGAAAGAAGAGAGTGCCCAGCACAGGCAGGGTAGGTTTGGTTTTTTGTTTTTGTTTTTTCATAGTAGAGGTTGGGGGTGAGGGGATTTTTCAGCGTTCAACCCTGTTTGGCTAACATCTGTCTATGGGTGTCTTGGCAAGAGGGGAGTAAGTGCAAGGTGAGCTCAAGATATCTGGTGATCTCAGCTAATAGCTGGGATGTTTGGAATATCAGGTACTCCCTCTTAGATGCTGGCCCTCCTTGGGTGGTGTCAATTTATGGCTTTTCCTGGAACCTGGTACTGCCTGCAAGTAAACTGAAACTCAGGCCTTTTTCAGCTTGTTTTTATTAAGCCTGCCATAGCAGCCAGCAGGCAGCAGTGAGCCCAAGCTGTTCTGGGTCCCACATGTCTCAAAACATGAAAGGTGAAATCTGTGCCATTTACAAACAGGTTGCTTTAGGTTAGTGTAGCTCCAGTTTAGCTCTGTAATGTGTTGCACCTTTAGTTACTTTTAATACAGATGTAACCAGGTAATGCATTGGTTGGATTTTACATAGTTTATCAAGGGAGAGTGGAAGGCAACTTCCAACTCAAGGGCATAGCTATCATCTTATAATTCTAGTTTTGTGTATTATTCTAGATTTTAGGACCAGGTGTGTGAGGGTCTCAAAGCCTGCAACGAAAAATAGAGCAGAGTCCAGGAAAGGAGGGGCTGTCTCAGTCCCATGTCAGGGGAGGGCAAAAGCCAAGAGTCCAACCACCACAATCAGTACTGTGGCCAGACACTCCCAGCTCTCCCGAAGCTCTACCCACTTCTGCTTCCGGGGAAGAGATTCGTCGGTGCTCCGCGGGGGCGGGGCTAAAGGAAGTCGGAAGTCCGGCCACTTCCGGCACGGGAAACTCCAGCTGGGGCTTCGCCGGGCTTGACAGGCGCGGACTCTGCCGGCTGCGTGTTCCCCTCACCTCGCTCGGCCTCCGGGTAGCGCCGGCCGCCGCCGTTCCGCCCTCCCTTTCTCGAACCTCCCGTTCCCTATGTTCCGGGGCCGGAGTCCGGGAAGCAGAGACCCTTTTGCTCAGTCCCCATCATGTCCGAAGTGACCAAAGAGCTGTTGGAGCTGGTGTGGGGCACCAAGAGCAGCCCGGAGCTGTCGGACACCATCTTCTGCCGCTGGACGCAAGGTACCGGGACAGGGCTCGCCGTTCCAGCCGCTCGCAGGGCTCTTGGTGGCGGCCGGGACGCCCCGCTCGGTTCCAGGACCCCCGCTGCACCACCACCGCCTCGGGCGCTTGGTCCCAGTGTCCTTCTCTACCAGTCCCTGCGCTTGGTCCCAGTAGCCCCGCTTTAGGCACCTGGGCACCCGAGTTCTGTCCCAGCAGCCCCGCTTGGTCTCAGCTCCAGCCTCTGGTACTGTTCCCTGTGCTCGGGCTTGGTACCAGCTGCAGTCCCTCTAGCGTCCTCGCTCTTGCCCATTGCCAGCCCTTGCTCCCAGTACTCCAGCTCTGGCCCCCAGCTTCTCGCACTTTCCCTGTACCGGCGTTTGGTCCTAGTAACACTGCCCCAGTCCCTGGGGCACGCGCACTCTCCCTGCGTCAGGGTTTGATCCTTGTACCCCTGCTCTGGCCCCCTCGGGACTCCGCACTCTGCGCTCGGTTCTAGTACCCGGACTTGGACTTGGTTACGGTAATGCCGCTCCTGCACCTCTGCTTCTTCGCGGTAGGCTCCGTAGCCTAAGCTCTGGCCGGTCGGATACCCCGAGCTCGGTTCTGGTACCCATGGTTCTCAACCTTCCTAATGAGCAACCCTTTATGATTTTGGTGGTCCCCAATCATAAAATTATTTCGTTGCTAATTCATAACTAGTTTTGCTACTGTTATGAATCGAATGTAAATAAGTGCTATGTGGAATATATGATGTGAGACCCCCCCTCCCTTCTGGGGGTCAAGAACCGCTGCTGTAAATGGATTTAAGAGGAAGAACTTGGATAGGAGAGTATTTACCAAAGAATCTAAGCGCCTCTGTCAATCAGGGCTGATTTGCTGCAGGGGTGAAGGGGTGAGGGGCCCTGATGGACTGCAATGTATGATGCCTAAAGAGTGCCACCTGTCAGGATCTTTACACCTCCAGTCTCCAAGTGAGTTGTCAGTGGGTTTTTGTTTTGTTTAGTTTTTGCGGAAGAGGGGTGGAATGGAGTGAGGTGAAGTAGTGATCCAAGTGACTAATGCCAGAAAGCAGTTTTATGTTGTAATTTTGTGGTTAGGTGTGGTGTTCCGAAAGGAAACACGGTATTGGTCACTACAGCTTGTTCACTTTGGCTTCAAGTATCCCTGGTTGTGAGATGTTGTCTGCTATTGTTTGTTGTATTTTAAAAAGGATGTGGATCACAGCACTTCCTCTGCCAGTCTAATGGTGCTCAGAATTACTTACTCTTAGAGGCCATTGCTAAATGTTGCTGTGGTGGTCACTGGGGATTATGGGAGTAGGCACAGGGCACTGACTTGCTGCATTAGTAAGGTGGCTTGATTTTTGTGGTCGATAACTGCATTGAATTGCAACCTCAGTCTTCTGAAAATAAGATGCAAATGTAAAATGGTTACTGTAAAACAAAGTTACACCTAGAGAGATTCCATTTATGATGTTATGTCATTAGTCAAGTTACTTTTCTTTGCTTGTTAAAATAAGGCAGTAGAGTAGCACAAAATTCATTTTTCATTCATATGACAGTTAATTCTTTGGAAATCCCTTTCACTTAACGTTTTGGGTTATTTTTTAACAATCCTTATATAACAGTTTATTTGATTTTCTTTTTTACTTAAAAAATATGTGTGTGTGAATGCCTTGCTTCCATGTATGCAAGTGCACCACATGCATGCCTTGTGCCCACAGAGGCCAGAAGAGAGCATTGGATTCTCCAGAACTGAAGATGAGCCTGCATATGGATGCTGGGAATTGAACCCAGGTCTACTTCACAAGCAATCAATGGTTTTAGCTACTGTGCCATCTTTTCAGTTTTGTTTAAAAGAAATAGCCTTTTAATAAAAAGTAATTTAATTTTGTTTTTTAAACAAGGTCTCACCATGTAGCTTGATTTAGCTTCGATCTCACTGAGATCCACCTGCCTTGCCTTCTGGGTGCTGGGATAAAAGACATGCCATATCTTGCCAGTCCAAGCTGGCTGTTTTTAGTTTGACAGTTTGCTTTCCATTTTGGTTTTCTCCTGTTTATTTGCTCACCTTTTAAAATCATTTTTTTCCTCACATTTTTAGTTCATTAGCACCACTTACTTTTTTCTTTCTATGAACCACACTGGTGTCCCTGGCTCTTGCAGCTGAAGCCTGGGATAGGAGAGCAAGCATCAAGAGCCTGCTATGGTTATTAGGTGAGGGGACAGAGAGTTCTGGAAATACTTGGGAGTCCTTGGAGCCAGTCGTGCAGGCATCTGAATAAAGTGTTCCAAGCTGAGAGCACTATAGCTGTAAAAGTCTCAGTGCCAACTGTTCTCAGACAGTTAATCGAGGAACAGGAAGGAGCTCATTGTGGCTGGAGAGGGGGAGTTCGAAGGGGAGGGGAGTACAAGGCTTCCTAGTCATTACAAGGACATAGGCCCTCATTCTGAATGAAGCAGGAGTCACTGGAAGTTTTTGGAGCAAAGAGACACAAGTTCTGTTTTTAGAAGGTGGATTTGATTGCTGTGGCTGAGGATAGACAATGGGGAGACAGTGACTAAGATCAGATGGTCCCTGTAGACCAGAAGGAGAGGTGGTGCTGACCAGGATAGTAGCATTGAGAGAGCAGGAAGCCGGCAGATAGACCATGTCCCAGCAGAACCCAAATTGGCACCTTCTGTGCCTTACAGAAGTAATATTGATTATGGCAACTTCTGACAAACTAGTAGTTCGATTTTCAGTGTGGATTTTGTAACCCAGTGTTTGGCAGACTACCTGCAAAGGGCCAGTGCCTCTTCTCCTCCTCAGTGTTCCTCATGGATAGTGTAGGCACAGCTTCCAAAGCATCTCCTGTGAAGCATCTGGGGACTGTGTTTTCCCTGACCTCAGTTTAGATTTCAGGAGCGTAGGAACCACTCTGTCCCTTCCTCCACACTTCACTTTATTTTATTGTTTCCCCTGAAAGTGTGTTTGAAAAAGAGGTACTCACTATGTGGATTTTATCTTTTTGTGATGTGGCAGGGCTGTATTTGATTAAAATTAGATTTTGGGGGTTTTCAGGAATAAGGGACAGTCTTTATTAAATGATAAGGAAAAATGAGACTTTTAACTTATGAAAAGTAAGAGATCATTTAAAAAAATATAATGGGCCAACAAGATAGCTCAGTGAGAAAAGGTACATGCCACCAAGCGTGACTACCTGAATTTGATCCTCAGAACCTATATGCTTGAAGGAGAAAGTCAACTTCTGCAAGTTGTCCTCTCACAGCTACACACACACACACACAGAGAGAGAGAGAGAGAGAGAGAGAGAGAGAGAGAGAGAGAGAGAGAGAGAGAGAAATAATTCATTACCAGATCATTTGGGTCAAAGTTTGAACTTAGGTTTTCCTGGGCTGGAGACATGACACAACCAAAAATATAAGGTGTTCCTTTGTGTACATAACTATTCACCTTATAGGCAATTTAAAAATCACAACTTGCAAACACATGAGGTTAATTACTTGGCATCTAAGTATAATGTAGTTTCTTTAATTCAAAGACTTGAAATATCTATGCTGTGGTGTTATGTTTTTCAGGTTTTTGAAATCTTATTTAAGATAGCAGAGGATAAACATCTCTCTTCCAACATTCAGAAAATAGGTTCCATTCAGATATTTAACTTAGCCTAGACCATCCTGGCTTATAGAAATCTAACCAAGTCTATACCCTTGATTTTACACTGGTTAATTAGACTTTAGAGAACTTGCTTATCCAGTTGGGTGGAAGGATGTGTATATGTACAGACGAGACTTGAGGATAAAATTATGCAAATTTTCAAAAATGTTCATGGCTCACATTATATTAGGTGCTATAAAACATGAAACTGAGTATGTTTTTATTGTGAAATAAACTGTATATATCTAATCAATTATTAGATGAGTACTTTTTTATTTTATTATTTTATTTTATATAACAAAGTCCAATTAAATGAAAACAAACATTTATACACAATATTTGGGTAGATGAGTACTTTTAGGTTTAATCAGAAAAATTGTCCTTTTGTGATGAACAGATTTCCTTTAAATTTAGAAAATAATTTGAATGAAAACACTCGACTATAAAAGTAGCTGTATATTAACAAACTGATATTCAAGGAAGGAAGTAAAATCAGTTCACTGTGGTGAGATTGTAACTGTAAGCATTGCCCATGGGTCTTGATAGGATTTTTAATAATGTTTTTACTTTGAATATTGGTGGAATTTTAAGGGAGGCTAGAATCCATTCCCAATTCATTATTAATTACATGATCTGGAAGATTGGTAGAACCTTATTGCTTCTCTGCACTCACATGCTGTATAAAGAGCTCCTTCCTTCCTTATTCTCCTTGGAAGAACAGTGAAGGTCTCTTGTCACCTCTCTTATCCAAGTACTGACAAGGCCTGACCCTGCTTAGCAGAAGAGAAGGTGTGTGAACTGGTGGGTTCTGGATGGTATGGCCACTGACTCTTGGCACAGACTCTTGGCTTCACGTTTGATCCAGAAATTTGGTTGTCTTAATGTGATAATCTACACTCTAGTTTCCAGTTTTCTTGCTAAGTTTTTTTTTTTTTTTCCATCCATCTTAACTACTTCCAGATCTTCATTTATTGTTATCAGGAACTCCGGTGTGTTGTGTGTGGGATAAACCTGTGTCTGGCATCGGCACAGACATAATCACACTGTAGCTGAGTCCTCACAGCTTCTACTCTTCATGCCCATCAGCTGTCTTTGTGCTTTTCAGTTAGCATCCAGAGAGCTACTCGGTTCTCACCTTTCTTCACTCCCTTGACTCCAGTTAGTGGCTTCACTTCTGTTTGCTTTTGTTTAGAAATCTCTTGTGAGCTCAGGATCCTATTATACTCTTAAAATTAAGGAACTCAGCATGAAAGCATACAACATTAGCAGGGCTATTATATCAGGAAGGACTGGGAAAACTATTGTAACTTCAGGCGGGTGTCTTGCCCCAGTCTCTAGTACTGTAAAAAGAGCCTGAGAACCTCTGTCTGGTTGGCAGTCACTATTGCCATGCTGTACTTTCTCAATTCTCTTATAAGACTTACAGGTCTTAGATTTCTTTTTTCCCATACCAGTCATTGACTCAGCCCATTTATTTATTTAGTTAGTAAGTTATTAGTCAGTCAGTTAGTTAGTTAGTTGTTTGCTTGTTTGTTTTGAGACAAACTATGTATCCCTGGCTGCCTGGAACTCACTGAGTAGACCCAGGTTAGGCTCAAACTTAGAGTTCACCTGTCTCTGCCTCCTAAGTACTGGGACTAAAGCATGTGCTATCTTTTAGTTCATGCCATTTATTCTTTTAGATAACATTGTGTCAAAGTAATTCTTCATGCCACCATCTTTTTTTCCTTCTGTGGTACTTTGTGCAACAAACAGTTTGCTTTTGCTGTTTCTCCTTCTGTCATTTAAAGTCTGGCTCTCTTGCTAGCTCCGTCTTCTTTTTGTAGTACTTGCAGTGGCATGCTTGATCCAGCATTTTATGTTTAGCATTTGTCACAGCTGACTACTCTTGTATCTAATTGTTCTTTTCTAGAACCTCAGCTACTATATTTCTGTCTTGCCTGTTTTTCTAAGCTGTTATCCTGCATTGCTGACACAGCCTCTACCCATTTTTTTTTTTTAATGTTCTCAGATTTATTATCTTTGCAGTGCTGTTGGGATTCACTTTTCCTGACCTGTTTCAGATGATTGCAGTTGCTATCTAGAGTCCCAAATCTTGCCCTGAGGTTCAGTATCTCCCACTTCTAGTTGGTAGTAATGGCTGTTTTACATTTGAAACTGAACTGTTTTGCATCTTTACAGACACCCCTTATTGTCTTCCCTTTCAGAAATTTAACAAGCATTAATAAGCAGTGACTATACAGCATATGATGAAAAACAGCTATCAATGAAAGGCATGATACCTGTATAATAAATTAACATAAAAGTAGATTATGATAAATGTCAGTTCTGCTGAGGGATGGTAGACAATTTAGGTTTGCCAGGAAGTCTCTTAAGAGTTAACATCTAAATTGAATTCTGAAAAATATGAAGGGCAGAATAGAAGGAAGCATTTCCTTTGGAGAGAAGAGAAAGCATTAATAAGGATTTAGTAGCTAAGCAAAGTAAAAGTAAAATGGAATTGGTCAGTTCTCCCATATCTTTAGACCAGAAAAAGGAGTTGAGGTTTTATTTTTCTTGCAGTGAGAGATCATAGAAAAAATTTTAACCAGGTTGTGACCAAGCCTTGTTTCTATTTCAGACACACTTTCCAGGCAATGCTGATGAATAGGAGGAGTTAAAGAGACTAGAGCTGGAAGATGTGGTTGAAACTTTCATCAGTATGCTAAGTGAAGGGGTAGCAGTTTGAACTATAAGGCAGACCAGATATGGTATATAAATGGTCACAATGAAGATGTTTTGGAACCTTGAGCCAAAAGGAAAGGAAAGGAAAGGAAAGGAAAGGAAAGGAAAGGAAAGGAAAGAAAAAGAAAAAGGAAAGGAAAGGAAAGGAAAGGAAAGGAAAGGAAAGGAAAGGAAAGGAAAGGAAAGGAAAGGAAAGGAAAGGAAAGGAAAGGAAAGGCATGTGTTTCAGACAGAAGGAGCATTATGCACAAAGGCATGGTGGGAGAGGTGGAGGCAGGGATGTTTGAAGAACTGGAAGAATCTCAACAGTGAGACAGAAATCCACTGTGCAGGACCACATAAGGACTTCAGATTCTGTGTGTCTGGTTCATATTTGGGGTCTACTTGGTTATAATCAGTAATGGAAATTGAGAGAGTAGATGAAATTGTTAGAGGTAGATAAAATCTTGCATATTACCAGAGGAGAATACATGGAAAGAAAAATGCATGGTCCCAAGGCCAGGCCTTTGGAGATGTCAGCATTTAAGAGGTGCTGCAGTGAGACTGGGAATAAACCGGTGAAAATGTACAAAAGAGGGACCGAATTTCTTCAGCATTTATGCTCATGATTTTAGGCGAGTCTGTGCACCATCAGATGAGTCTCTTAAGAGCAAGAGTGAGCTAGGTGCAGCCAGGGATTGAAAGTGAACACACTGTGAGCTGAGGACACTGAGGTGAAAAAGGTAGGCTGTTGCACAATGATGTCTGGGTGGGGCTGAGAGCTCAAGAACCAGAGGGCATGGGATGGATTTCTTGGTGGAATCACTTAATTTTTAATAAAATATGTGAAATACACATTAATTGCTGTTTGGTAGAGAGGCTAAAGGAGAGGTTGGTGAAGAAGCTCCAGATCCTCAGCTTTTATTTTTAGTTATTCATTTACCTGTAGAAACTTCAGAGATGACTCATTTCTCTGTATCTATATCTATTCTTTGTATCAAGCATGCTCCATTAAAGTAATCAAACTTTAATGTCATTTGAGAAATACCATTTGAAAATAGCTCTTCTCCATAGGTAGCTTTTATTAGGTCAGATCTATCTCTGCTGGGCTCTTGAAATAACTTTTCTTTTTTAATCCATTAAAAATGAAGAAAACTGTATAGTCCTGCAAGGGCCAGAGCTTCCTCCGGCTCCTGCAGGTCTTTGTACTGTGCTCCCCCTCTGCCTGTTTGTCACTTCTTTCTGCCTGTAACCCGCCCCTCAGCTGCATTAAATTTCCCCTTGAACTGTCAACTTTTCCTGCCCTTACAGCCCTTTTTCCTTTTAATACTGATATTTGCTTTGCCTGCACATCGTTTGCCTATCCTTGCTCCTAGGCAAATCCCTGCCATGATCAACCTCAAATTCATCTGTTAAGGTGTGACTCAGGCAAAGTTGTTCCATTTGCACCCAGGACACCCAGAGTGTCCTTCATTCTTCTGATACAGTCACATCATCTTTTAGTATTACCCATTTACATGTCTCTTTAGCTGGATTATCAGCTCCTTTTAGACCAGAGGTCATAGCAGTCTTGCATGTACTCTGAATCGTAGGTATAAAATATGGTGTTTGCTGGGTTGCTGAATTTAGCCATTAGTAAAATTCACTAGATCCCTAGCACACTGAAGTTGAAAGTGAATATTTTCAAAATAAGACCACTGAGGCTCAAGGAGATAAAATGATCTTTCCAGAGTTTCTAGTGGATTCTCCTGACTTCTGTCCCAGGGCCCTCTGCATAATTTTAGCTGCTATCAGTTAATGCTGATTAGAAATATTTGAAGTAAGGTAGAGCTAGTGTATGAACACTTACTACCTATCATGACATTTAGTTTTTAAATTACAGACTGTGACTCAAAGATGGAAACGAAGTAGGCAAATAGGCAAATAATCTGGCTACTGCCTAGCCCACTGCCCCTTACAGTGTTTCACTAAGTTATTTTTAACAAAAATAAGAAAGATTGAAATGAACAACAACAAAAGTACTGTCTGGAAAAGAGTGGATTTCTACTCTTCCGTCAAGCAAATTTAATTATCTAAAAGTAAGATTTGGGGGTTGGAGGTGTAGCTTAGTGATGAGTATGTGCTTGGCATGCATGAGCTAATTTCAGTAATCAGACCAAGATTTAATGTCCTTCCATTCCAGTCTACTTTGCCTTTGTAGAGTGGTCCTGGGTGTGTGTGTGTGTGTGTGTGTGTGTGTGTGTGTGAGAGAGAGAGAGAGAGAGAGAGAGAGAGAGAGAGAGAGAGAGAGAGAGAGAGACTCTCCTCCTGGTCTCCTAAAAGAAGAGTTGTTCTCTCCAATAACTACATATTTTACTGTTGTAAAACATAATGCTTGCAAAGTACTTGAACAATTCTTTTATAGATGTTACTGGAATTATTTTTAATCCTTACTACTTGCTTTCATTTTTAGGGTTTGTGTTTAGTGAATCAGAGGGATCTGCATTAGAACAGTTTGAAGGTGGCCCCTGTGCTGTTATTGCACCTGTTCAGGTAACATAGACTGCTTTACCAACTCCTTAGATAAGGGACTTGTTTTCTTATGTCTGTATTCCACAGAATAACCAGATATGGCCGTCTAACAACTCTTACACATGGAGTTATAACTATCCAAAATAAAAATTAATTCGGAGCATGAACTTTTACAGCAGTAGCATTTTGACTGTTTTCAAGGGAAAGTAAGAGGTATACCCATTTTCAGAAGACTAAGATGGAGGCCCATTTTGTAATATTAAATCTTAATGTTTTTGAATTTCACAACAAACTAGTGCTGTAATCTGTTAAATTTGTGGGATTAACAGCTCTAGTTTACTGTTATATGTATGACTGTCAGTGTTTATATTGCTATTCATACTTTAAAATGTTTATTGAATAAAAAAATGATGCAGGTTGCCCACTGGACATGAAGGAGACATTTCTAAACTCTTGGTTACATAATACATTAGTCTCCAACTTTATCCTCCATATGCTAATATCACTCAATTCAAAATGTGTTTCTCTAAAAGAAAAGCCATTTTAGGAATGAAGAGATAGTTCAGCAGTTTAGAACACTGGTTGCTCTTGCTGAGGACCCAAGCACACACATGGTACACATACAAAACTGCAGGCATAACATTCATATACATAAAATAAAATCAAGCTAAAACTATTTAAAAAGTAAAAAGCAGTCTCCTCTGAGTTATTCCAACATACATCTTTATAGACCATCTTGTTTTTATTTCTTCAAAGAATGAAGCTCCTTTTTTCATATTGGTAAAATTATTAAGGGAAGTTTGAGTATCTGAATCTCGTTTCAGAATTGTTGAGTATATATAGCGGAAAATTAAGTACAAAATAACCATAGTATGTTTATCTATTCTGTGTGGTTACATATCCTATTTATATAATATACTACTAGTAGTTATTATATTTATTTTCCTAAGTAGCTGAGGCAAATTTTCAGGTAGCAATTTGAATCTTGCCCTTCATGTATGTTAGAGTTAGAGATCTAGAGACTCAGTAATAGTACTGTAAGATTGAAGATCTGTGAATATATTTAAACAGAAAGTAGACTATAGACATTTAAAACTCAGTGTGTATAAATAATAAACAAGGGATAGCTTTAACAGTAAAACCCTGACCACCTTATTACAGACCCTTGAGGCATTGGTTTAATTTGAGAAACATACCGATATTTTTCAATCAGTACAATTATTTATATTAATGTTTTGGTTTAAACATCAAAATTAAATCATTTAGAGTAGTGAGAGAACCAAATAAGCCAAAATATTAACAGTAACCTTTTTAAATTATTAAATTTAGAACATGGCACTTCAGAAAACGTACATAGGAATATAACTAAAAGATAAGTCATTTATTAAATGAGAATTTACCAAGACTTTATCACTTACTGTGATAAAGGAACTGTCATAGGTGGTGAAATAAAATGAAATTTCATAAATACCATCAATATGGCAATTTAGGGGACAAATGACTATGTCATCTTCTACCATATGCCAAATATGTCCTTGAACCATAAGAAACCCAAATATTAATGTACTAATGCTCTAAGAAAAAGGATTACATTAAGCTCAGGAAAAAAAAATAGTTCCAGTAAACATTATTAGCAAAGATGTTGTCTGTCTTAAATGAGGGAATTAGTACAAATTGGGTAAGAAAAGCACTGTCTCCCAGGGGTAAGATGGGCATCACAGAGTAGTTGTTAACAGATAGAGTGATGCTAAACTATAAAATACTTGCTGAGTGTGGGCTAGTAAAAATTAACTAGAGCTTGATTCTATTTCTTTTTTTAAAAACTCTGTAGATATAAAATTGTCAAGCCATATGCGGGTGAGATGTATTGGCACTCTTGAATATTGCTGTCTAGTACAGATTTAACTAAGTTCTGTGAAGGTGTTTAGACTATATCCAGAGCAATGATAATATAGAAGCTCAACGCAATAATGTAGTTCTGTGAGTCTCTCTTTAAAAATAATCTTTCTTATGGGAAAAAAGTTTTCCTCATGAAGAAACTGATTTATAGTAGCAAAAGTTGCAACCAACCTAATATATTGTAATAAAAATTAAATGAGGAAATAACAGGTAAATCTTGGGATTCTTATAGAACTAGTGATTATGGCTATTGATTTCTGTGAAAACCAGAATGTGCACATCTTAATATAAACATATTTCTTTTTCTAAAACCAGTCATGAGAAACAAATGAAGGAAATATTATATGCCAACAGCAGTAATATACCTGCAAAGTTTGTGCTGTAGATAATTACACAAGATAATTAATTTATGTTGATTTTTGGATGATAGTATATACTTTATGATAGTGTTCACTTTATTTCTATATGAGTACCATAGAACTTTACTGTTGGGGGCGGTAAAATTCTTTGAATAATAGCTTGTTAGGTGCCAGGTAGTATGCTGAGTGCATTGCATACATTTTCTTCTATACTCCTTACTGAAATCTTCCACAGTTTGTCCTAGCATTTTTGATTAATATGGTAGTTAATAAAGACTTAAGCTTAGGTCCTTCTGACTAAAAGCAATCTCCATCCTACTTTCTTATAGCATGTGAAAAGTGCTGTAATACCCTGCCTTAGACCTGCCCTGAGCAGATTCATAATCAACAGGATGAGGCCAAGAACCTGCATTTAAACAAGTCAACTGCACTGTACCTGAAGGAGGCACTGCCCTGTAGCCCATAGCTTTTTATGACATAGCCAATAAAAGATTAGGGATCAATTTGCTTTTCTTTTGAATCATATAACTTGATGCCTCAAATTATGAAGCTATGAGTTCTTGTGAAAAGTGATTGCTCTAATAGTTGGATTATTCCTTTCCTCCCACACTCTTTCTTTCCATAGTCCTGGGCATCCAACCCATAATCTTACCATGATACACGAGTGTTCTACTACTGAGCCTCATCCACAGTGCTTTTTTATTTTCGCCTGAGGCAGGTCTTGCTAATTTCCCAAGATGACCAGTAGTGGTATTCTTTGTATAACAGATCACAGCTAACAAAGAAGAACCATTGTTGTATTTAAATGTCTCCTTCCCCAGAAATCCAAGAGAAATGTAGACATGTTCCTGTAAACCTTCCCTACATGAACAGTACACTAACTTGCTGTAATTTCTAGTTACCTCTTTATAATGTGTATTCTCTACTTATTAGAAAGTATGTATCTGAGGTGGGTATTCTGACTCTGGGATAAAGTTTATATTAGTATATTCTAAATAAATAACCATATACACTGACTTTTGAATATGGGGGGAAACTATTTGAGATTTTAATAATAGAATAGAAAAGTGGTATTAATTTCTTCCATTTTTAAAAGTAAGCGAGCTACATGAGATGTGATTACAATGTATTCTAACCATTGCTTTAATTGTGTAAAGGCATTTCTTTTGAAGAAGCTTCTGTTTTCCTCTGAGAAGTCGTCCTGGCGGGATTGCTCAGGTATGATAGATGGCTTTCAAGTTTTTACTTCATATTCTCTTTTAAACCTGGTCTACATAGCATTTGTTGTTAGTAATTCAATTAAAAGAAAGAAAGAAAAAAAGGAAGAAAGTCTGTGTTCAGTAGGAAACAATTGGTGGGATAGTATTTCTGAATGTTTCAAGAAGTTTAAGTTTCATAAACAGTTACTTTGTTTTAAATTGTGCACTTTCAGATTTATAATAGAAGAAGACAGAGTGTTGTAAGGGAAAACACTTGGCCTCTTGCTAAAACAGCTGTTTCTCTTTTAGGTGATAATATGCTCTGTTTGTGCGACAGGATCTTGCTATATAATAAGTCTAGCCCGGAACTTGCTGTGTAGGCCAGGCTTTCTTCAGACTCAAGATCCTTCTATTTTAACTCTTATTGCTAGGATTACTCTTGCTCTACCATGCCTGTGTGTTGTTATTAGTCTCCCTCTCTGTCTCTACTATTTATTTTTTTTATTTTATTTTTTGCCTTATTGAGCTCTGATCAGGAACTCTGCGTTCTCTTTTTACTCCTTTATCTTTCATTATAGTAGAAACACTGAAAATAATTATATTGTAATGGAGCTGTCAGAGTGTCAGAGTTAGACACTCTAGTTAGACAGATACAGGATACTGCCTGATAAAAACCGTTTTCATTCTTCTTGGCAATTTACAAAGATCTTTCCTTAGTTACAGAATTTCATGTGAGCCTCATAGTCACTTCTAGAAGAAGGCAGAATATTACAGTGCCAATATTGTTTATAAGAACATATAGCTTTCATCCTGATCCATGATCAGAGAATCTCCTCATGATTTTGAACTGAAGAGTTAAAGGTGTCCTAGTCATGTATATTTAGTGTTAATATGAAATGGAAATGCACAAGTTCAGTAAAGAAACTTTCAGAGAGAGTCATTTATTAACTTGATTTTAATTGCAGAAAACATTTCATCCTCAAAAGTACAGTCACTTTGACAGATTTGGAAAGCACTGCCATAATGTCATGAAGGCTGTGATACAAAGTGCATGGATGCGTTACTGACTGTAAAGAACTTTCCATTAGAAAAGACAGAATCCTCCTTTATCATAACATGTGATATAGGATGATAATAGGATTTTGTTATAGAGTCTACATTTGGAAGTTTGAGTGTGATAGTGCATCTGGAGAGGGGCACCACTAGAGAGAAAGGGAAGGTTCTGGAGGAAATGGCCTTGCTTGTGCTATCCACAAAACATCAATGCTCAGTTTACTGAGAATGGTATAGTGGCTTCTGGTTTATTCATCATAACAGTGGTCGCTTCTGGCTATCATAATGGATTGTGGTTTTGTGTGTTGATGGTGGTGTATCGCCTTGCTCTTATTCCTGTAATTTGGTCAGACATTAGGATTCAGAAGATGAGAACAGAGGTCTCCAGGGGCCCTGATATTCGTTATGCTTGATTCTGCAGTAAAGGAACTTGAGTGCTCAGGTGCTCGAGACAGATGACTGGCACACTGTTTCTCATCATGTTAAATTCTGCATTTTTCAGGCTGCTGCTCCTTGTAACTGACACCAGTATTTAAAGTGATAATATTTTAATCCTTAGACACATTGTTTTTCTGAAGAGTAATTTACAGTTTCCCGGTTATATGCGGACTTTCCTTATTCTTATAGAACACTTGAGTTTTATTATTAAGCCAAGGCATTTGTGCTATTTTTCATGACGATTTTCTTTTTCAGACAAACCATATAACTTATACTTTGGTTATTTTTAGAGGACGAGCAGAAGGAGCTCCTTTGTCATACCTTGTGTGATATTTTAGAAAGTGCTTGTGACAGCTCTGGATCATACTGCTTGGTTTCATGGTTGAGAGGAAGGACAGCTGAGGAAGCCACTAGTATTGCTGGGAGTCCTGCACAGTCTAGTTGCCAAGTGGAACATTCTTGTAAGATACATTTTTATTTCATGAAGTACTTTCTTGTCCTTGTGCTTTAGTAAAACTTGAAAATTTTGAAATGAAAATATTTTGTTTTTATACCTCTTTTTCTGTACTACTTTTAATTAGTAATCGTTAATACTTTGCTTCCTTTTACATTTTAATTAGTATAAGACAATGTGTTTTTGCAAAAGGAGTTACATTTATCATTTAAGCAATTTAAAAATAATTCTAGTTAACTTCTACTTGATGAAATCTCCTTTTAGCATTAAAACTTTGGATTTTAAAAATCTAAAGAATATATATCTGTATGCCATAGATTCAGGTGTACATTATTCTTCTTTAGAAGAAAGGGACTTTTTAACACTATTAAATGCTTTGATAGCCTTAGTTTCTTTCTAGAACAAAGTTGGAGACATTTTCTCAATTATATACTCTTATTTTGTACCTGGTGATTTTGGACATTGTTATATATCTGGACCAAGGTAATTTTGGTTTTGTTTTATTTATGTCTTCTAAGTTTTTTTGACTGTAGTTTCTTTCTTTAAAATAATCTAAATAATGTCTGTTCTTGTTCATAAAATTGTAGTGGCACACACCTTTAGTCCTAGCACTTGGGAGGCAGAGGCAGATGAATCTCTGTGAACTTGAGGCCAGGCTGGTCTATAGAGCTAGTTCCAGGACAGCCAGGGCTACACTGAGAAACCCTGTCACAAAAAAAAAAAAAAAAAAAAAAAAAAAAAAAAAGAAAAAAAAGAAAAAGAAAATTATACATTTCAATATTCTTAAAGTGTCCTAAAATTGCTAAAATGAGTTAGTAAATTAGGGAGTTCTGGTGGTAGGGAAAATAGAGTTGTTTTTCTGAGTTGCTTTGAAGGAATAATATTGCTAGTAGATAGTTCTAGATAATTGGTAGTCTCACCTGCATTGACCACAGTGTACTCACTGCCTTCTATATAAGATGGTTTTCCAAAAATTAGATACCTGATGTTAGGAAGTTAAATACTTGATTGTGTGTGAAATGTCCCGCTATTCATGTAGAATTGTCTGTGAGGCAGTGTTGCCTTCCTTGAGCTGAAATGTCCCAATATCGTTTTCCCCCTACTTCTGCAATTAGAATGGCTTGTGGTTGCCAAATTTTAATAGCATGTTTGCAAGAAATAATTTTAAAAATTTAAAGTTGTGTAATGTTTCTTTTTAAGCCTTTAAAACATGGCCTTTCAAAAAAAATTTTTTTGGAGTTCATTGTGACATTTAAAGAGAAAGGAAACTGCTCAAAAGGATGACAATAAAACTTTGTTTAAGACTAATTTTTAAATGTTTTGTAAATTTTACTGTGTGGCATGTAAGCATGTTTAATTGCATTTGGGATCCTAAATTTTGAGAGAGAGAGATACTTAAACTTTTTGAAGAATTTATAGCCTTTTCCTTTGGATTTTAATGCATACCTTGCACTTACTATGGAGGAAGTGGTGTATTTCTGTGCTAATGGGTTAGAAAGCTCTAGAGTGAAGAGCCTCAGTGCACAATTAGTTATCTAAGTAACTAGTTTAGATGGTTTTGTTATATTGAATACCCCCCTCCACAAAAGACATGCTGTAGAATTTTCTACTTTACTTAATGCTACATTTTAAAATAAACATGACATAAAGACATATTTGAAATATCTTTAATTTCATATAGATTTAAAATAAAACATTTGAGCTGAAAATTTGAGACTGTATCTTAGATACTGACAGTTAAACTGAAGTTACATTGAATTATTTATTCCATATAACAATCTGTTTTACCTGTTTTTCTTTATTCCCAGCTGTTTCTTCCATGTCTTATTTGCCATTATTTTTGCCTGCTAAGCTTTAGTTAGTTATTTATTTTTTGCTTGCCTCTTTAAAGTACTCTCTTTATCAACTTTCCAGTGCAGCATAAGCAGGCATTATACAACAGTATACTTTGGAAGAGGTTAAATGGAATTATTTCATTTTTATAATTTAAAAGTGAAGTATTTCTTCCTCTCATTGATTTTACATTGTGTACAAGCATTAATTCCATTGGCTTTTTGTGGTGTGTATATTTTTTGCTTTTTGATAATGCACACTTGTTTGTAGTAGTATATTTGTGGGTTCAATTTCAGTTTGTTTCCCACATAAACCAAAAGATAAATTAATCCATTTGGGTTCCTAAAGGTTTTAGAAAGTCCTTTGAAACATTGAAAAAGTAAAAGTAGGCTATATAAAGCTAGTATAATGTGCAATTTTGGATTGTAAATAAAAATTTTAATTCTGATTGCATAATCAGTTTCCTTAAACAGTAGTAAAATTTTATGTAAGACATACTACTTCTACTTTCATGAAATTGCTCATTGCAAGAAAGTAGACGTTTTGATTGGCTTTTAAAGACTATCTTCTGGAAGCCAAGACTAAGTCTACCTTCCAGTGCCGGTTAGAACTTGGTGCTCTTAGAGTTTCTGTGTGGACCTCAGTTCCCTCTTCTATAACCGGTCATGGTTACTAAGTGAGGTCAAGCCTGTGCTCACAAGAGTGGCCAGCATCTAGTGAAGTCTTAGTAAATGTCATCTTTGGTTTAAAGGCTTTGGTTTTCTTTAAAAATTTTAAGACTTGTACTTTATTAATACAGTCTTAACAGTTATTGTAAATGATTGCATGAATAAATGAGGAAACAAACTTTAATCTGTCCTTGAACCCGTGTTTCAATGCTATGCCTTTCACATGCATTTGTTTAATAAGTGAGCAGTAAGCCTAAGGATTTTGTATTGAAAACGGTCAGCTCTGATAGTTACTTCAATTGTAAACTGGGAGATTATTTTAAAGTTCAGGACACATGACAATGTGTGACAAATAGGCAGTGGTTCCTGTTTTGCATGTTCTCCTAGCTATAACTGAATTGTACAGAGATGTTTGTTACTTAGTAACCCTTCTACATTCTCAGTACTGTATCTAGTTTAAACTAGTAACTAAGATGATGAACTATAAATTCACCTTACTATAAAGTTCAGAGTGAACTGAGACTTGTAAGGGAATAAGAAATAGGGGATGTTTTGATTGCTTGAAGTATTTACAGCCTGCTGTGTGTATCTTGTGTCATTTATTTGCCATGTGTAGTGCTGAAAAGTGTCTTTTATGTATAGCTGCCTTGGCTGTCGAAGAGCTTGGCTTTGAGCGATTTCATGCATTAATTCAGTAAGTAACATTGAAACATTTAAAATACTTACCTTGTGGACACATTGTCATTTTAAGTTTATTCATACTGTAGAAGCATCCTTAGCCTTACATAGTACATCTCTACTTAAACAGGAGCTTAAAATACCTTGTTTGACCATTAATTTGCTTTCAAAATTAAAAATAATTTATACATGCATGTGATTCTAAGTCCTAAAGTAACTAACTATCCAAATATATTTTTAAAAACACTAAGTTAAATACCTCTTTATTATCACTTGTAAAAAAAAAAAATCATTTTACCATGTTTTTCTGTTCTGAATGGATATAAAGCCATTTGTAATGAGACAAATACCAGGGTTATTTATCTGCCAAAATATGCTTCCTGTAATTTTCATTAAAAGTGCCTATATTTCATAGAACATTTAAAGATTTTATCATAAAATCAAAGGAAGGTTTCTATATTGTCAGAATTATAGGTGGCATTTTGAAATTTAACATTAATTTCTTTTAAAAGAAGCCATAAATGTATACTGTAGTTTTAGCCCTCAGATGTTTGTTGAAGAGCTTTCATTCTCTAATAGTTGACTGTTATTGAACACCTCTTTGAAAAGGGCCAGTCTGTTGTCTAAATAATTGCAAGGACTGAGGAACTGGTGCCAGGTACTACATCTAAAAGCGGCAGAGGCTGCTTGCCAGGACTTGGACTGTCTTAGTGGACTGGGTTATAAATGGTAGGAGTTGTCAGCAATAGTTTTTGCTTTCCTTAGCTAAATTTGTCTTTAGAACTTGAAGATACTTCATAAATATCTCCTGTGTGTATGTTACAATGAATACGAGTTTAAAATTTTTTCCATTTATTAATGGAGTAGTCAAGATACTAATACTTGATTCTTCTTCCCCCCCCAGAAAAAGATCATTCAGAACTGTATCAGAATTAAAAGATGCTGTCTTGGACCAGTATTCAATGTGGGGAAACAAATTTGGAGTCTTGCTTTTTCTCTATTCTGTATTACTGACAAAGGTTTGTTTAAAAACAATCTACTGTCTTAGCTTAGTTCTGCTTTTCCTGCTGTTAAATGCTGTGTGGCCACTGTTTGTACATCCATGGTGAAAAGTCTTGCTGCTGATAAGGTGTTTGCTTCTGCCTCCATTCATTCTTTAACCATGTTCACACTTTTCCTCCCTTCTGTCCTTATGGACCACAGAGGTGATTGACATTGTTCTATCACGACATGCTGTCAGTTCTTAGTTTGGTTTCTTTTGATCTTGGCAATATCTAGCACTTAACCTTTAGCCCATGTAGGAACTCTTTCTAACCCCTCTTTTCTGGATTTAGTTGACAATCCTTGTCCTAGTTTTTTTGTTTTGTTTTGTTTTGTTTTTTCATATATCTTATACAAAACTTTCTGTAGTAGCTTTATTTTCTTGTTTCTGTGTTCTGCTCTTGAATCTTAGAATTCGAGATTTTAGAATTTTAGAAGAGTCATTTCCTGGGTCCTGTGTGATTTTTTTTTTTTTTTCTTTTATGAGTAGTTATTTCTGTTAGCTCATCTCTCTGCAACTAACTATAGCATGCATATTTCTGGTCCTGTCTTCATTTTGCAAATACCAATCTCAAATTGCTTTCAGTTTCACTGGGAATATCTCATGATTATACTTTATCTGTAATCAGGTTGTTTGTTTTCCTTTTACTAATTTTTTTTATCATTAACTCTCTGATAGATATGTGACATCCTTTTTTAAAGTTTTCGATTTTTTTATTATAAAATGATATACTGATATAATAATTCTACTATGGTCATGTTTTAGGGTGATAGTTTTTATATTTATTCATTACATGCAGAAATTATTTTTGGAAAATACAAGATATGACTTAAGTTTGTTAAAGGGACTCATGGACAGACTCTGAAGTAAGGACCATTTGGTGGATGTATCAAGGAAAGGTCTATTGGGGTATAACACAGCTTGGGAGATCATAAATACTTCAGTCTACCACAGTGTCATATACCTAGGGACAACTGTGAAATGTGATATTTGCACCTTTTTTATGTAAGAGGTTTTGTGTGAAATTACAAAAAAAAAAAAAACAACAACAACAAAACTTTAGGTTTCATATCAGAATTGGAACACAATACAATTTTTTAATATGAAAATGACGTGTGTGTGTGTGTGTGTGTGTGTGTGTGTGTGTGTGTGTGTAAAAGATTACAAAATCGGAATGAGAATTTGTGATTAAGACATCACAAATGGAATACTAGAGTCAAGGAAACTAGGAAAATAGTATTGTAGTGGAAACCTAAAGCTGGATGGTGATAGAATGGAAGAGAAAGGGAACAAACAGAATTAACAATAACAGAAGTCAACCAAATATTAAACAAGTTAGTACATTAAGTAATGGAAGGTACCAGAAGTGCTTGGAGATCAGATGATGGGGTAGCTAGTGAGTGGTAGAGGTAGTAGTGGCTAAGGTGTTGCACCCTCATGAACTTTTCTTGACTGTTCACTCTCACCCAGTGTTTTTTGCCTCAAATTCTGATACTATCTGTAACCTTGACTGTTTTAGCCATTACCAATTGTTCCCTTTGAACTGTTGCTCTCTGAAATAATTCCCTTTCTGCCCACTGACTGCACAGTCATACATTTTAACTTTGTTGTAGCCTGCTTTGTTTTGTTGTTCCCTGGGATGACAAGTCAAAATCACATAACTCGTTTTTTTCTCCTATGGTATTTAGACACTCTTTTAATACTTTGATTGTTGGTTGTCTATTGTGTCCTTAGAAGTGGCCTACAGTATAACAGAATCAGTGATTCCGATTAGGTTATAGTGGTGTGGTTGTCACTGTGCTTTTTGGAGTTGATGAGGTTACTATGGCTCTCCAGCTTCCTGGTTGTAAGATTGAACAAGTGTCTGGAGGTTGTTTTTAAGAAATGAGAAACTTACTGTTCTCAGAACTGCTATTTTATTTTGTTACTGTGTATTTGAATTATCAATTTCGGGGAGAAATTATGATCACATGTAAACTTTACATTTTCTTTTTTACCTATTATATCTTTTGTGTATTTAACTTTATATATTTCTCTAAATTCAAAAGTCTGACTTTACGATAGTAAGTTTTTTAAAATGACCTAAAGTAAAATAGTTTTCTTAGTAGGTATATTAAGTTTTAGTTTAACCTGAAGTTAAATAAATGTGAACTTTTATATTAAATAATTTTCTCTCCTCTTTTGAAAATTGTTATCTCTGTCTAACCAACATTAGACTTATTAACTATGAGTCCCTAAGTGTCTTTTATAGAGCCCATGAAAGAAATGTAATCTTTGGGAAGCTACTTCTTAGCATACCAAATGCAGCCCCACTTCAAGTCTGGGTAATTCAAATAGTATTTAATAACATATGGTCCAAACTGATAATACTTTGTACTTTAGTTTTAAAATGAGGTTAATGAAATCTTGGTTTCTTTAGGGCATTGAAAACATAAAGAATTCAATTGAAGATGCAAATGAGCCTTTGATAGACCCTGTGTACGGGCATGGCAGGTAAAGGCTGCAGTCTGCTATCTCTTACTGAACTGTAGGCTTTAGGAATTTCTGTTAAGTGTATTGGCAGCAGAAGTTGTGCTCGAGTAGCCCTGTGTTACATGTACTGCAGTGCTTTGCTGTGTGTGACCAGTGTTAACATCCAGTTTCGAGTTGTTTATCCATGACTTATTATGACAAGTGTCTTGTCAAGGTATTTTAATGAAGCCTCCTTTATATCCATTTATGTATTTTATAAAAAGGGTAAATGTACTCACATTAACAATAAATAAGTATTTTCTTACTTATCTGTGCTAGTTTCTTTTGGAGATAAAATAACCCTTTTCTAGTTTTTTTTTTTTTTTTAGTTTAGTTTACCAAAATCAATAGAATGGTGAAAATTAAACTATTCTCCCACGAGTCTTTCTTTTTAGATATGTCTGCTTACATTAACCTATCTTCTATCAAAGACTGCATATTAAATACAGTTATAATGTTTTCCATTTATTACAAAGCCAAGATTTTTTGGTTGGGAGTAGGCAAGAATTGTATGTATAAGGATAAATATTTTAAATGTAGTTAAGAAGAATTATGCTGATATTTGTAGGTTCTTCTCCAAGACCCATGACTTCATAGCCAGGTAGTAATGTTTCTAGTCCCAGTTGGTTCTCCCGTACCAAGTAGTCAGCCCTAAAGTTATGCATATGCAAGGAATACTATATAGACCAAGTAGTCTATATTTATTTAGGAGATTGTGTGTGTATGTGTATAAATATATGTAACAACAACTCAAAGAAAAGAGGCAATTAATTTGAGAGCAAAGGGGTACATGGGAGAGATTGGAGGAAGGAACGGGGAAAATGATACAATTCCAAAAATTATAATTTATAAAAATAAATACTAAGTTAACAGACTAATTTTTATCCATTTAAATATTCCCTCAAAGTTGCCAGGCTTCTGTGATTATGGTAACAGATGCCATTGTGGTGCAACAATAAGGCCCTCACCTCTGCCAGACAGAAAAAGGAAGTAAGGTTTCCTCTCATTTCATATTTTAACATAATGAATATAAGCAGTCATTAAAATCTTCATTGCAGGAGTTACTTAATTTGAAGAACTAGTTTTACGCTTGTTTTAACTGATATTTAATTTTTATTGATAGCCAAAGCTTAATTAACCTCCTACTGACGGGACACGCGGTTTCTAACGTATGGGATGGTGATAGAGAGTGCTCAGGAATGCGTAAGTATGTTCTTCGCTATGGCCTCAAATGATTAATATTTTAGTGAAATATCGGAGATTGAAATTCACCTATTTAACGGCTCTCCATTATATGGATATTAAGGTAAGTGCTTTCTATTAGAAGAACCCTTTATGGTTTCCAAGACACCATAACATTAAAGTGTAGATTTTTGGAAGAAGACGGTCTTGTGTACCAAATTTATGAGCTTGGTCAGGCTTGAATTCTCAAGGCTTTGGTTTTTCTCTAATTTGTTATTGGGACTGTGGCACTAACTTTAGAAATAGTATCTCTTAGTAGATGTAATATATGAGTACTCATCCAGGGACAGTACTGCATTCAATGCTGGGAGTTATGAGAAATCATAAAGTAATTAAATTACTTGTTTTGACAGTATCCTGGGTTTTTCCATATTACTTTTAATATGCACTATAATATGCTGGGCAGACCTTGTTTTCTAATGCTTTCCATCTACTAACCCTCCCAACCACATTCCCATTTCTGGGTTCAGTTATTTTGTTTCGGTAGCTTCTTACATTGTCACGAACATCACTTGAAGTACAATAGCTAGTCCATTCACTTAAGCAGAGCTGATGCAAAATAATGAATTACATCTCCTTCTGTAGTCATTTAACTTTTATGGAATAATTGCAGTAAACCTTTTATTGAAATGTCTATTGTAGGACATGAAGCTTCATAGTTCCTGTTCATATGCAAATTTAAGTTTTACCCCAGTTTGGTGTTCAACAGAATGGTTACCAAACAACAGAGAGTATATTACATTTGAGAAAATGTTACTACTTTTCACTTATATGAATGATTTTTAACTTTTAATTTGCATTTTCCTCAAATTTTAGAAATTTATGTAGCTATTTCATAGAAAAATTTGAGTAAAAATTATAAAACACCAGAATTTAGAGAATATACCCTTCCACTGTGCTGTTTGGAAATTCAGAGTCTGACTTCCTGTGTGCAGCATAGCTCCCTTATCTTGTGAAGGTAGAATTTAAGAGCCCAGCCTTGCTAACTGCATGGATACACAACCTCACAAGTGCTCTGTCTTGTTCTGCTCTCTTTTCAAGCACATCTTGCCATTCTGATTTAGATCTAAAAGCATGTGATCCTGCTAACTAATGTGCCAATCTCTCTTGGGTAATGTGCATTTTCTTTGGTTTCTCCTCTTCCCAAAGGTTCCTGGTCTATGAGGTATCTGCTGTAATTTCAGATACCTAGAGAAGAAACTGTGGTTTAAGTGTCTCTTCCCATCAGGCCTCTACCACTGCTACTTCCTACTGCTTGCTGCTTGCTAGTCTTTTGTTCATTACTAAGTTATCCTGGTCCAATTTCCTGTGCATTCTCACTCCCCTCCTTCTCCCTCCCCCACTCCTTCCTTTATGTGGAACTAATACATTCTTCAAATGGCTATTGTAGCTACTAAGAGTTCTGTAATGAAGATGGCCTCATAGGAAAAACTCAATTCTCTGTCAGATACTTAACCTCCACATGGGAACCTGTACATAGATGATTCGATGCATGGTGAAAGGAGTTGTGTTGAAGTAAGAACTGTATAGATGCTAAGGAGCTTTTTCACTGTGGGAGCTTTTTTCACTGTGTCTATATTGGCAAGCATAAATAGACACAGGGATTTTAATGGGGATCAAGAGCATGAACAACAAGGTATTTGGGGAAACATACACATTATATGTTTAGACAGGTAGACAGACAAATTGAGTAGAGCCATGTGCATCATTTAAAGATCTTAAAACGATGAACAATCAGATCCCAGCTGAGAATATTTAAGGGTAGAACTTTTAGGTGTTGGGACATGAATATAGAACTTGTAGGTGGTTCTGCTGTGCCAGGTTTGAGAACCAGTGGGTCTGTGATGAACACTGATAAAAGGAAAGACTGTATCAGTATAGGCTTGAGTGACAACACAGAGCATACTGAATACTGTATTTACTCCTAGTTAAGTGTTAGAAAAAGAGTCATTGTAAGCATTGAGCAGAGAAATAACACAATAAAAGCCAGAGTAAAAAGATGTCAGTTTGTTGAATTAATTATTGGAGTGGAATCACTAGTTGAAAACTCTGGCACACAGCCTCCACAGTGGGAAAGGTACAGGACAGTGATAGACAGTAGCACAGGAAGGAAAAGAGAACACAGTATTTATTCCCCCCCTACAAGCAGTATGTTTGGGGTGTATTTTTAACCTCAATGTAGCTGAGGTTTGGCTGATTTTTAATTTGTCCAAAGTGAAACACCAGAGATTAAACCAGCAGAACTTTTTACTATGCTAAGGCCCCTGCTTGTTTAGAACATCCTCCTAAATCAGCCCACCTTGTGCTCATTTCGGCAGCGCTTACACTAAAAATTGGAACGTAAATAAGTCCACCTTTGTTGTAGAGTCTACAGGAGATAGAACTTCTAGAACTCCTCATATTAGAGGTGAGGGTGAAGTGCAAGTAATTCTCAATTTTAGATCAGACATACTGCATTAATTAGCACGTAAAATGTGGGAAAGCCCTCAACGGTATGTGAATTTTGACAATATGCTTAACCCTTGTCATATACTGCCGTTATGTATTACATTTCTGTGCTAGTCACCCTAAAAGATACATGTTTGCCCACATAGAAGTTAATTCCAAGGGCCTTGTCCACAGTATAAAGTTGGAAAATAAGCTGTGCAGTATATCTCATTCCAGGAGAATGAGGGCTAAAAGTAAGGTTATTGAAATACAAATCACTTGATAATAGGGTTGTTCTTCAGGAGTGTGGGCAAGGACTTTGCTGTTGAGCTGATAGAAGTGTGGCCTTCAATGGGCTACATGGTTTTTATTTTAATCATTAAAGATTGCCTCTGCTGTATCCAAGGGAAAAGAGCCAGTTTTAATAGGAGCAGCAGGAAACAGGTGCATGAGTGTTAAGTAGTCTTAGGAGATGCATGTTCTTTTAAAGAAATGACGTGCAGTAGAAAAACAGAAACAGGAAATTCAAGATATGGAAGTTACTGAGGGAGTGAGTGAGCATAGGAAAATGTACAAAAATAAAATAGGTATGAATTAACTGTTGGAAGGAGTAAAGAGCTGTTATCAGTTCAGATCTACTTAAAGTAGATCTCACTGATAAGGCTATTAGGTTTTTGGGTTATTTGTAGTGGTTTGGTTTTGTTTTGTTTACCCAGCAGTAATCACTCCTGATAGTAGAAGAGAATGTGGATATTAGGTGTGACCTGGGAATATTCAGTGAAGGATGAACAAGGCATTTCTCACCTTTATTTACTAAGGTTATTAGTGTTTAAATTGCTATGTATCTTTTGCCTTGAGCAGTTTACCTTGGGTGAGCATGTAGATAGATAGTTTGCATTTTGACTACTACAGAACATTGGTAAGAAACACTGTGTGTAAGTCAGTCCTATTCAGTATTCTTGCAGGATTGATTTCTTTAATCAGATGTGTATTAAAAACTTAGTCAACTGTTGACTTTTTCTTAGTAATAACTTTATTAAAATCTATGTCAAAATGTAGAATAAATCAAATCTGAAATGCCTTTCTTGCTTTATAAAGAAATCCTGGTTCCTTCAGCAGTAGCTTCTCATACTTCCATTCACTCCAGGCTGAAAACTACTCATCTGCTTTCTGTTTCTATACATGTTCACGTCCTGGACATTGAACAGAAATAGCGTTAAACGATGTCTGATATTTGTGATGATAAAGTTCTTTTACTTTGAACAGTGTTTCCTGTACTGGTGCTTTCCTTTTATCAGTGAGCAAGCAATACTGCAGTGTGTGAACCGTGCATATTTATCCATCATCAATTGTTGGACATTTGAAATGGCCACCTTTCTGTTATGAATGGCGAATGGTGTTACGGGCATCTGTGTGCAAGATTTTGTGAGAACATGTGTTTTTATCTTTCTTTGCCATATACCTAGAAATGGAAATCATGAATAATACATTAACTCAGAAGATTTACTCTTTGGAGGAGTATCTGTTATACTGTTAATTAATAGCAACTTTGTCTCTACAATGTGCCTCATAAAGGAACAACATATCTTCCTGATGTAGAGTTTTTTTTTTTTTTTTTTTTTTTTTTTTTTTTTCCTGTATCCTGGCTGATAAGCGAACATTGTCCACCTTTAATATTTGGTCAGTTTTTGAAAAATAATTATTTATTTTATCTGACATTTGTTCTACTTCCTAATGAACCTGTGCTCAGTTGTTATTCATATGTAAGAGTTGAACTATCTTGCCCTCTGGAATTATCTCTTCTCATCTTCTGCCATTTTATGGAGAGGGGTTGCTCCATCACAATTTATGGGGCTCTCTAAGTTCCTTTTCAGGTCTTTATAGAGCAGGGAGTTTCTCCCAGCCTTTTCTTATGTAATTTTTCTTAGTGGTGTCTTTTGTTCCCAAAGTTTTCACTTCATAATGTAGAGTCATTTGATATTTTCTTTTTCAGTTAGGCTTGGGTGGCTCTTTCCCCTTGTATCAATTTTGTATTTCTATTATTTTTCTAGATTAAAATAATAATCTCTAGTATTTTCTTCAAATGTTTACATTAGTATGCCTTATCCATTTATCATTTTTATACATTTATTTAATGGCTAATTGTAAGGAATAATTGATGCCCATGAACTTAATAATACATGGAAATATAGAAATGTAAACTCTAAGGAATATGGTCATTTCAGAACTCTACAATTAAAAATATGATTTACAATTATGATTTATCAGGATTAATAGATCAGAGTGCTGCTATCTTGAAATTGTGTTACTTTCAACAACATGTTTTATTAGCTAGAGCCAGTTTAGATCTCCTAGTTTAACTAAATTTGACATCATCAGTCATTTTATAGTGTAAATATATATGTATATGTATGTGTGTATTTTTAATGTGAATAAGAGAGTATATTTCAAACAGTATTTGGAATACAAATATAAATGGTATGCTGGTTAGTTTTTTGTTGTCAGCCTAACACAATGTAGAGTTATCTAGAAAG